ATCATTATCATCATTATTGTTATTTTCATTAGTATTGTTATTACCATTACCATTATCTTCATTATTTTTCTTACTAATGTTATTATGATGATTATTAACATATTTATCTTCATTATCACCATTTTTACCACAATTCACAAGAACAACAACAAACAAAATCGAAAGAGAAACGGTAAATAAATAAATAAATAAAGAAAAAAACAAACAAAGATAACTACGGATATTGAGGGAAGCAAATAACCACTTACACGTTAATCACCTGACAATCAGCTGTACAGATCACGTGACACTAATCAAGCTGTCCACGCAAATACCCAATGTAATGCGCGGATATGCAAATTACCGTTGTTGGGCCTATGTGGGGGCTTTGGATGGATCTACGCTTTCTGTTTCCGCAAATCGTATGATAACTTAGGCGTAAAGGATTTGTTAACGAATATATGATATATATGATAAACAGTGATGATGGTTTGATATTAAGAATAGTGATGAAAATGGAAATGATTACAGTGCTGATATTCACAATGATTATGATCGTGATGTTAATAATACGGATGATTTTGATAATGGTATTGAATATGGTAATGACTATACTGATAATCATAAATATAGTAATGATTATATTAATGATGATAATGATAGCGATAATGAAGATAACATCGATGATTATAACAACAGTAATAATGATATAATAATTGAATCAACAATAGTAATAATGGCAAGAAAAAGGATTTAAATGACAATAATCACCTTCATCATCATTACCATCACCACCGCCATCATAACGATAATGACACTGATAATAACTACATGAAAATATATATCCATCCCTAAGAAATGCCTTCACATATTCCAACATAAGTTACTGAAGACGCCAAGTCACCATCGTGGGCGAGAACAATGGTGTCATGGTGTCACGTGAATCGACACTTAATGATGATGGGCGTGGGGGGGGGGGGGAAAGAGAGGGGGGGAGGAGGGAAAGGGGAGGGGAGAGAGGGAAGAGGGCGGGAAGGGAGAGAGAGCGGGAGGGAGGAGGGATAAGGGAGAGGGAGACGGGGAGAAGGGTAGGAGGAGGGATGGGTGAGAGGAAAAAGGGGAGGTAGTAGGAAAGGAAGAGGGAAAGGGCGAGGGAGAAACAGATGGATAGACAGGTAGATAGATAAAAGGGAGAGAGACTGAGATTGACGGAGATAGATGACAGAGATGGAGACAGAGATAGAGATAGATACAGAAACATAAATGATTAGATAGACAGACAGTTAGGTGGTTGGATGGAGAGAGAGAGGGGAGAAACAGAGAGAGAGAGAGAGAGAGAGAGAGAGAGAGAGAGAAAGAGAGAGAGAGAGAGAGAGAGAGAGAGAGAGAGAGAGAGAGAGAGAGAGAGAGAGAGAGAGAGAGAGAGAGAGAGAGAGAGAGAGAGAGGAAAATAGATCGAAGAGAGAAAGAGAGAGAAGAAAGAGATCGGAGAGAAAAAGAGAGGGAAAATGCACTGTTGAATATCAGAAAAAAACAACAGGAGTGAAACCTTGATATTACAATCCCACCCAATAAGAATCAAGCCAAGGCACATTAACCCATTATTCTCTCAAAGAAACATCCCATGAATCATAATTTTCATAAAAGGCACCTTGATCAGACCTAACATACGTACCGGAGTCAATAATCAACTACGCATAGCAGGTCCCAGAGCGATGCCATTCATCATTAGCCACATCAAGGTGCACTTAGACAAACCCCGTCATTACGAAATTTCCTCCGCCATTCATAGTATGACCAACAGAAAACGGAATTGCGAGGGGAGACTAAATCATGTGGATAATGTGGTAATGGCAGTTCATGTTAATGGTAGTTCGTGTCTCAAAAGTTAAAGGTCGAATGTGTGTATGATAGAGTTAATGTAAATGAAGGAATGTATAAATTATTTATTTCATCTTGATTATATATCGTTTTAAGTTATATGAATGTTTCGATGTTGTATTGACAAACCAAAAGATCTTAAAATACGCAGTGAATGATTGATATCAAAAGTCCGAAAAGAAAAATGACTTTCGGGTTTAACAAAGAAAACAGGTGCGAAGCTGTCATTATTCATCAGGCATAGGTTACTATTACGATGATTGCTTCTATCTCTAGCTAAAACAAAAGTGTAAAAGTTGTTTATACATACATATACACCCACACACCCACACACAAACACACACACACACACACACACACCCATCCACACACACACGTACATACATACAATACACACAAACAACACACATACAAACATAACACCCCTACATAAAAAAACAACAAATGAATACCTAAACAAACCTAAGTACACACATTCATACACAACACACATATTCATATTCAACACATATTCACACACACACACACACACACGTACATACAATACACACAAACAACACACATACAAACACAACACCCCTACATAAAAAACAACAACACACGAATGCCTAAACAAACCTAAGTACACATATTCCTACACAACCACATATGCACAACTTCTTCTTCTTCTTCTTCTTCTTCTACTGGCTTGTTCCCTGTGCGGGGTTGGCGGTGCGGATCCGTTATCTATCTGTGTCCGCATCATGATTAGGTTGGCGCAGTGGTTTTTATGACCGGATGCCCTTCCTGACGTCAACTCTTCCTCCTTTATCCAGACTTGGGACTGGCACCGAGTTGTGCTGGCTTGCACCCCTCTGTGGCAGGTATTGGCAGGTGGAGACCGTTGCCCCGAGAACCACATATACCCAACATAGTCCTCTTGTTCATTAACCCTTCTTGTCCCTGAATTCCAGGTGCTGCCCTTCGCTTCAGCCTGATGTCCCTGACCTACCTGCTGCTGGTGCTGGCCGTTCCCCTCCTCCCCGCGCCCACCATACACACGATGAGAGGTGAGGGAAATTAGTCGAGAAGGTGAGGGGAAGGATTCGAGAAGGTGAGGGAAATGAGTCAAGAAGATGAGGTAAGGGTGAGGGAGACTGGTGAGGTAAAGGTGTGTCAAGGTGAGGGAGAAAGATGAGGTAAGGGTGAGTCTGGAAGGTGGAATAAAGATGAGTCAAGGTGGGGGTGGGGGTTAATGATGAGGGAGACTAGTGAGGTAAGGGTGTGTTTAAGAAGATGAGGTAAAGGTGAGGAAAATGAGTCAAGAAAGTGAGCTAAGGGTGAGGGAGACTGGTGAGATAAGGGTGTGTCAAAGTGAGTTTAGCTTGAGTCAGATGGAGGAATTAAGGATGAGTGGGGGTTGAGGTAAGTATGAGTGAGAGAGGTGATAAAAGGATGAATGAAAGGTATGAGGTAAAGATGAGGCGAGGATAAGTAAGAGAAATGAAGCTATGCGTGAGGTGAGATGAGTATGAATCAGAGACATGAAGGAAGGAAGATTCTAAAAGCGATAAGAATGAAGAAAGAAATCGAGAACTGAAGCAAGAGTGAGTTAAAGAGGTGAGTAGACGATAAGCCACAGAGATGAGGCAAGAGTGAGTAAAAGGAATGAGTCAAAAATATGAGACAAACAATGAAGCAATGACGAATAGGAAAACTGGGGGAAGGTGAGTACTAGTCAACGGTGAGTCAGGCAAGTGAAGCAAGGGTAAGTGAAGGAAGTAAATCAAGAGAGAATTAAAAAACAAAACAAAAGGTAGATAAAAAAAATGCATAAAAAGCTGAACCAACTCAAGAATGAATAAAAAAAAAAAAAAAAATAGATTAAGAAAATGCATAAAAAGCTGAACCAACTCAAGATTGAATGTTAAAAAGTTGATTTTAAAAAGGCATAAAAAGCTGAACCAACTCAAGAATGAAATAAAAAAGATAGATTAAAAAAATTGCATAAAGAGATGACCAAACCAAGAATGAATTAAAAAAAAAGATTGATAAAAAATGCATAAAAAGCTGAACCAAATATCTTGAAAGAGTTGAAGCGCGAATGAACGAACGCACTGAAGCAAGGCTAAGTAAAAAAAAAAGGAGGGAGGAAGGAGAGCTGATGCAAGGATGAATGAGAGAAGTGAAGCAAAAACAAATGAAAGAAATGAAGCAACGGTGAGTAAAAACAACAAAAGAAGCAAGAGCGAATCAAGGAGCTGAGTCAGCCGTGAGTGAGAGACGTGGGTCATGGACGAGTCAGGGGGATTTCAACCCATTAGCGCCGATTTAAATAGTAATAGCTCTTTGCACTACCTCGTATTATTCATGAGTTAGTCATGAATCTTGCAGCGAGTGAGTCAGCGTTACTCTTCTGAGATCCTGATGTCATTTGCTTGTGTTTTGTTTTCTGTTTGTTTGTTTTTTTGTTTGTTTGGTTTTGCTTTCGATTGTCGGCTGATTGTTTTTGTTATTGTTATTGTTTTTATTGTTTCTGGTTTGGTTATTGTTTTTGTTATTGTAATAACTTTTTCTTTTGATTACTAGTAGATCTATTACTGTTATCATCATTATTGTTTTTTTATTATCATAGTTTATATGATCTTTATTATTAGTAGTAGTACTATTATCACCATAATTATTATTGTCATCAAAGTAATCATTGTCATCTCTAATCATATCTAACATTAGGATTATCGTCGACATTGTTAATATTTCATTAGTCATTATCATCACCCTTATGATCAACATTTTAATTATTGTTGTTATCATTATCACCACCAATATCATGATCGTAAAAGACTGTCACTTTCAGTATTGCCATTATTCTCTTCATCATCACCACTACTAAAACCGCTGCCATCCTCATTATCACCATCACCAATGCCACCATCATTATCATCTTCATCACAACCACTAACACCATCACCACAACCCCTACCATCACCACCACTACCACCATCATCACCATCACCTTCACCATCACAACCATCACCATCACATCCCCACAGCCATCACCACCACCCCACCATCATCATCATCACTATCACCATAACCATCACCACCATCACCACCATCACTACCACAGTCATCACCATCAATCACCATCACCCCCATCCTCACCACCATTACCATTACATTCCCATACATTACACTATCCAAATATCTACTAATACCTCCCCTCCCCCCCCCTCTCCCCCACCAGGTCACACGGGCCGTTACCTGAAAGCAGTGGCAGGCTTAAGCGTCGTCAACTTTCTCCTGCAGTTTACCTTCCAAATAGTGTTGCTGAGTCTCCCTCCCTACGCCTACTTCCTGGACGAATGTAAGTAGAGAGATTGTGGGTGGTGGTGGTGGGGGTAGTGGTGGGGGTGGGGGGGTGGGGGTTGGGGGGAGGTGCTGATGTAGATTGGTGATTGGGTGCAAAGGTTGATGGAAGCATGGGTAAGTAGGGTAAGGGACGGGGGAGGGGGGGTAAGTGGGAGCGATACTTAGGGAGGTTGGTTGAAAGATGTGGGTAAATGGGTAGATAGATGGGTAAATTGATAGAAAGATAGAACGATTGATAGATAGACAGACAGATAGACAGATATATAGATAGATAGAGAGAGAGGGAGAGAGAAAGATAAAGAGAGGGGGTAGAGAGAGAGAGAGATAAAGAGAGGTGGTAGAGAGATAAAAAAAAAATGAATATTTTAACTAATCAAATTTCGTGTATCTATCTTATGATAAGAACAAAATCAGGCAATTTAAAAGAAAAGAAAAAGATACTGAGAACAAATTTGCCCTGAAGTAGATTTATGTTCCTTAAACTTTGCTCAGTGTTTACAAACTCGTTACCAGCTGTCGCTCATTAAAAAGTCTCCGGACTTTACTCGCCATTTTTCACTATATTTCTTTCAAACAAAATTGTTTTCATGTGGATTAGAATGTTACTGCAATTTGCAATACGGGATAAATGTTATCTTATATACGAATAGATTTCTTTTAATATGGTTACCTATAAATGATTCCAATGGCATGTTTTCTTATCCTCACTTGAATGAATTTGAAAGATCCTGCAAGAGAATGGAAAAGATTGTTGATTTTGATGATGATGGTAATAATAAAAATAATAGCGATAATAATGACGATGATGATAATGAGGATAGAGGGATAATGCTATTGAGGATAATGAGGATAGAGGGATACTACTAAAGATAAAATTGATCAGAATGATAATGAATAATGACCATGACGACAAAAATGGCCATAATGATAATCATAATGACGACGACGACGAAGATTCTCACGCGAAAATCCTCCTCCGACACAACCTCCAGGCAGTTTCCTCGAGGAGCTGATGCGCCACCTCGGCTTCGTGCGCCTCGACGGCATCAGCGAAGTGGACGGAACGAGATGGCTCTTACCCGAGTGCATTCTGCTCGTGTTTTCCCCCACCGTGTACGTCGCCTGCCTCAAGCTGACTGCCCACGCGAGCCCGGATTTCCACCTGCCTGCCCACAACGCCCCCAATACTCAGAAGAACTTGGGGCTTCGGATTCTCAATGCTGTGGGTAAGTGTGGGGGAGGGTCAAGGGAAGCATTTTTTTGGGGGGTGGGGGAGGGATCCTTCTGTGAGTAAGGGGTTTTGTTGACTGTGTTGTAAAAAATAATTCAAGTTAAAAAAAAAAAAAAGATACATGTAGAATAGATTATTATTGTAGCTTTGCTTTTAAATATCTTTACGTTTTTTATTGTCTTCTCCGTGTTTCCATATTTACCTTTACCATTCAACCCAATCTCTCCCACGCACGTCCCTCACCATTTCCTGTCTCCTTTCTTACTTACCTTTACTTTCTTCCTCCTTTTATTCCAAGAACTTCACTTCCCTTTCTAGTCCACTGATGCCTCACTCCTCATTCTCCCTCTCCCCCCTTTCTTCTTCCTTTCTTTTACTCAAGTAACCTCCCTCCTATTCTTTCCTCCCTTCGTTCCTACCTTTCCCCCTCCTTCCCTCTCTCTCTCTGTCCCTCCCTCCCTTCCTGTTTCCCTCCCTTCCTCCCCCTCCCTCTTTCCGTCCGTTCCTCCATTCCTTCTTCCCTCTCACCCTCCCTCCCTCCCTCCCACCTCCTTCCCTCCCCTCCCTCCCTCCTTCCCTCTCTCCCTCCCTTTTAACCGCATTAACCCCCCCATTCCTTCCTCCTTTCCACAGGCACTTACCTGGCCCTTGCCATGATCGGGGGGGCGGGGGTGATGGTGCCATCTGTTACCAGCTCCGTCTACTTTATAGTGTTTATGGCAAGTGCAACCTACTGGAGCTTAAACAACTCCCTTGGACGTCGCTTCGGGTGAGGGAGACGTTTATTTTCAGGAAAACGTTTACGTGATTTTTATATTTTTGTTCTCTTTCTCTTTTTCGTTTTCTTTCTGTCTTTACTCGTCTTTCTGTTTCGTTTTAACAATGATGATAGAATAAGGATAATTTTAATGATAATATTAACAGTAATAAGGATAGTATTAATAATGGTAATAATGATAAAAAAGAATTATGATAATATTAATTACAATAATGATCATGATAATGATGAATTTATTGATGATAATTATAATAATAATGGTAATGGTAATAGAATTACAACAATGGTAGTAATGCTGATAATTAAAAAATGTAATGATAACAACAATGATTATAATGGAAATAATAATAATAGTAATGATAACGATAGAATGATAATGATCATAATGGTAGCAGTCTTGATATTGATAACAATGACAAAAAATAAGGATAATAATGATTATAAAAAAGTATGATAACAATGATAATGAAAGTAATAATAATGATGAAAGTAATGATGATGATAATGATAATAATAATAATAATGATGGCAAAAGTAATGATGATGATAATGGTGATGATAATAATAATAATTATAACAATGATAATGATAATAAAGATAATGATAATAATAATAATAATAATAATAATAATAATAATGAGAATAATAATGATAATAATAATGATAATAACAATAATAATAATAGTAATAATAATGATAATAACAATCATAATAATAACGATGATAACTGAGAAATAATGATAACAATTCCTCTAATAGTAACAGTAATAGCTGTAATACTAATAGCAATAACACCATTATTAATAGAAGCAGAAGAGGTTCTAATCAGCGCTGGCATCATGCGACCACATCAACAGCAATAACCCTAAAAGTCAAACCACACATTACAGGATAAGCCTACACATTCAACACACACTGTTATCCAACACGAAAGGTGATATCTAAACATTCTCCATTATCGGTAATTGGTAGATACTTCTGTTTACTATAGTTGATTACTCATAGTATTGGCTGGCCATTCACTAATTCTGGTGATGGTTAGACTAATGCTGATTGGTGGGTGTTGGTGTCAGGGAAAGGGGGAATGGGCGGGGCTTCTGATTCTGGGAAACGCCTAGATTTTGATTATTGCTTTTGATGAGGGATTGTTTAATTAATTATATGGGAAAGCAAGGAGACATGGAAGATTTCGTGTCGTTAAAAGCAGAACTATGGAATTTCTGTTCAAGAGATGAAAACTTCTAAAAGACATTTCCGTTGATTGTTTGCATCTATTTTTTTCTCTTTCTGTGTTTCATTTACGTATACCTATTACTTGTCTGATTTATCAATCCGAAAAGACATTATAGTCAGTATGATATATTTTTTTATTATATCGACTTATAACCTTGATGACAATTATCAAATTTCATCCTAGTTCGTTATTCTTAATAATATAGATGTACTTCCTATATGTATTACCGTAAATGCTCTCTATGTTCAATTTACTTTGCCTTAAATATACCTAGATGTATTTTTTACCTTAAATGTATTCTACCTTAAATGTATTTTGCCTTAAATATACTATACCTCAATTTTTACCTTAAATTATTCTATCTTAAACGTATTTACCTTAAACATACTCTACCTTAATCTTGCTAACTTAAATATATCCTACATTTAATGCATTTTACCCCAAAAGTACTTCACATCAAATGTCCTTTCAGGTACGTGTGCCGAGGTGTAATGGTGTACTCCGGGGTCCATGTGGTGTTCCTGTACATCTATCAAGCCCAGTGGATACAAGAGCACATACCACCGGATTCCCTCGGTGCCAGGTATAAATTCGTGTTCTTGTTTATGCTTAGTTTGTTACTATATTTTTTTTTGTTTTTATCTGGTATTGTTTATGTTTAGTTTTTTTTTTTTTTAGTTTTTTTTTTTTTTGTTTTCATCTGGTATCGTTTATGCTTAGTTTATTTTCGTAATTTTGTTTTTGTTTTCATCTGGTATTGTTTATGTTTACTTTATTTTTTGTAACTTGGTTTATGTTTTCATGTTTTTAATTGATAATAGATATTGACTGATTGATTAAATGGGTTATAATTTGTTTCTTTAGTTGGATTGAATGTTTTTCTTATTCTTTGTCCATTTGTTTATATATCTCATTCCTATATATTTTCTGGATATTTTCTCTTGCATTTATACAAATCGAGTTTTATATTATCAAATAGCATATAGGAGACATCCAATTATATATCACCAATAAGGACTTAATGAACATAAAGATTAAAGTAAAATCGTTATTCCGTTTTTGTTGCTTCTCTTGACGACCTCACATTGTTCTTAATTTACTACATTTCACGTAGTAGTTCATGAGAGTAATTGATACGATTAACTGTTGAATTTTATTAACTTAGGACTTAAGACGAATGTTAAATTACCTATTCCATATCTTCATCTCACCTGTTTATCTTTTCTTCCTTTTACTCCCTCATTATTACCTTTCTCCTCATCCTCCCCTCTTCTTGTTAACCTCCCCCCCTCCCCCCACTTCCCCTCTCCTTACTGACCTCCCCCTACCCCCACTCCCCCCTTTTCCTTGCTCACTTCCCCCCCTCCCCCCTCCTACTTCCACACCTAGGGTCACGGGCCTGACGGCGGTGGTGCAGACGAACTGCACTGACCCCCGCTCGGCCCAGGTCACGACGGACGAGTGGTCGAAGTTCGTGAACCCGATCCTGCTTCTGCTCATGTACTTTGTGCTCGCGTTCGAGTCCCAGTTCCTGCTGTCGAATAAGGTAAGGGGGGAGGGGAATTTTCTGCTGAAGGATATGGGTATATAAGATATGATCTGGATGTATGTGTGTGCGTGTAGTATCTATATCTGTATCTATCTATCTATCCATATATTTATTTAATTTTGTATTCATCTCTTTACACACACACACACACACACACATATATATATGTGTGTGTGTGTGTGTGTGTGTGTGTGTGTGTGTGTGTGTGTGTGTGTGTGTGTGTGTGTGTGTGTGTGTGTGTGTGTTTGTGTGTATGTGCGTATGTGTGTATGTATGTGTATGTATGTATCTATGTATATAAATAATACGTATATGTATATAAGTATATTCATGTGTATATATCTAAGTATACATGTATGTACATGCATTGACCTATCTACGTATATGTTTCTTCTTCCACATTTTATATTGGAAGGAAGGTGTTTTTATTTTTATCTTTGTTTTACTCTTTGATGGACTTCCAATCTTAATGTTGTACAGTGCTAATGTAGATTTCAGCATGTGATTTTCAGGGTCTCATTGGCATCCCTGTTTTGTCGAATATAGGATTATTCTGACGGTCTGATTAGATAGATACCCACATTATTTAATTCTTGCGTCAGTTGTTTAAAAAAATACTTATCTAAAGATTTTTTTTAATGACTAATAGAAAGAACAATAATAGAGAGAAAGGTTGTTTCCCATTTTTTTTTTTATTTCTTGCGTCAGAAGTTGTTTAAAAAAATACTTATCTAAAGAATTCTTTTTTAATCACTAATAGAAAGAAAAATAATAGGGAGAAAAAATTGTTTCCCATTATTTTTTTTTCTTGCGTCAAAAGTAGTTTAAAAATTACTTATCAAAAGATTTTTTTTTAATCAGCAATAGAAAGAGAAGTAATAGGGAACAAAAATTTGTTTCCCATTATTTTTTTTTTTGCGTCAGAAGTTGTTAAAAAATATATTTATCCAAAGATTTCTTTTAAATCACTAATAGAAAAATAATAATGGGAGAAAGATTTGTTTCCCATTTTCGCTGGGTGACAGAAGGAGCGCAGAATAGGTAAGGAAGGAAGGGGTCACAGGTCAAAGCAGGTCACGTGCCTCGGCGCAGGTATCAGGTGACCTCATCCTGGCCCCGACGACGTGCCGTGCCGGTGTTGACCCAACTAATGGCACTCGGCGGCACTCATGATCCCGTCCTGGCCCCACGGTCGAGTTCATTAGCAGAGGCACCCTTCCCCCCCCCCCTCACAACCTTGTTTCCCCTTCTTCCTTATGCTTCTCCATTCTGTGCCCTCTCCCTCTCTTTCTCTTTTCTTTCTATTTTCGTTTTTCTTCCTCTCTCCCTCTCTTTCTCTTTTCCTTCTATTCCCGTTTTCCTTCCTTCCTCTTGTTCCTCCTCTAATCCCTCGTCGGCGTTCATCTCCACTTGTTATTTCTTTTTTTCTCTTCTTCTCCATTTTCTTTTCTTATCATCTTATCTTATCCCTTCTCTCCTGTAGTTTTTTTTCTTTCTTTAACTTCAACTCCTCTTCCCAGCTTTCCCTCCTCCCTCCTCCTCGTCTCTTCCTCTTTTCCCTACCCTTCCTCTTCCTCCCTCCCACAATCCTCCTCTTCCTCCCATCCCCTTTTCCCTATCTTCCCTCCTCATCTGCATTCTCCCTCTCGCGTCTCCTCCTCTTCCCTTTCCCCTGTTTCCCCTTTCTCTCTGTTCGAGACGAGTTATCGTCGAGGGGATTACTGCGTGTCAGGTGTCGGCCCGCAGTTTCCCCTCCCTCCCCCCCTCCCCTCTTCTCCCTCTCCCCTCCTTCCTTCCCTCCTCAACTCTTCTCCCCTCCACCCTCTTCACTCCTCCCCTCACCTCCCTCTTCCCTCCTTCCTTCCCTCACCTCCCTCTTCCCTCCTCTCCTCTTCTCCCCTCCTTCCTCCCTTCTCTCCTCCTCCCTTCCCTCCTTTCCTCTTCTCCCCTCCACCCCTCTTCACCCCTCCTCCCCTCACCTCCCTCTTCCCTCCTTCCTTCCCTCCTCTCCTCTTCTCCCCTCCTTCCGCTCGCTCTTCTCCCCTTCCTCCCTTCTCCTCCCCCCTTCTCACCGGCGGGTCACGCACTCTTCCTGTGACCTCTTCCCTTCCCTCAGGAGTTTCCCCTCAATCGTTTTCCTCTTCCTCTTTCCCCCTCTCCCTGCTTTCTCATTTTATTTATTTGTTCTCTTATTTAAGGACATTTATTACATCTGATTTCCTATCATTTCATTCCCTCTTCATATTTCCCCTCTTCTTTAATTGACATTTTGTCGTTTTTTCATTTTCTCTCTTTTCTCCCTTCTTTCTCTATTCCTCCCTCCTCTGGCTTTCTCTATATATTCCTATCCTCCATTCCCTGTGTTCCTCTCTGTCTATTTTCCCTCTTCTTTGATGCCGTGTTTATCACTCTCTCTTCTAACGTATCTGCTCGGTCGATGAATTTCCTTTTTTCTTTCTTTTTCTTCTTTTTTCCTTTCTTCCTCCTCTTTTCTTTTTCCGTTTTCTCTTATTGTTTTCTTTTTCTTCTTTCTCTCCTTTTCCCCTTCTTTTCTTTCTTTTTCTCTTCCTTTTTATTTTTTCTTCTTTTTCTCTTCCTTTTTATTTTTTCTTCTTTTTCTTTTTTATTCCCTTTTCTTTTTTTCTTTTTTTCTCCTTTCTCTTCATTTTCTCTTTCTCTCTGTTTTTCTTTTCCCTTTTCTTTTTCCCTTCTTCCTCTTCATTTTCTTTTTCTCTTTATTTTCCTTTTTCCTTCTTCCTCTTCATTTTCTTTTTCTCTTCATTTTCCTTTTTCCTTCTTCCTCTTCCTTTTATTTTTTCATTTCTTCTTCTTTTTCTTCTACTCTCTCTCTCTTTTCCCTTTTCCTTTTTGCTTGACTTTCTCTCCTTTGTTCCATTTCCTCTTTCGGTTTCTCGCTTCTCTCTATTTACCCTTTTCTTTATTTGTTTGTTCCCTTGGCTTTTATTTTTTTTTTATATATTTTTGTACTTATTCTTATTCTTCGTGTCCTTTCTTAGCCTTTCTTCCTGTTTCATCAATCATCTTCGTACTTTCTGTTATTTCTTCTTTGTTTTCCTGCCCTCGCTACTTACATTTTCTACCCATTTCTTCTTTTCTTTCCCCCTTTCTTTCTAATTCCTTTTTTTTCTTTTGTCTTCTGACTCTTACTTTGTTTCCTATTTGTCCTCCTTATCTTATGATTTATCCTTTTTTATCCTCTTTCACCTTATTCTTATTGCGTTCTTCTCTCTTTATCCATTTTCTTACTTGATTATATAAATCAACTCTGTTCTATTCTATCCCCTACTCTACCCTGCCTTGCCGTACTCTGCCCTGCCCTGCCTTGCCCTACAATGGCCTGACCTGACCTGCCTTGCCCTGCCCACCCCTGCCCTGGCCTGACCTTATCTTGCCCTACCCTGCCTTAACCTGCCCTGATCTAACTTGTCTTGTCTTGCTCTGTCCTCCGGAGCCGTACCCTACCCTACCCTGCCCTGCCCTGCCCTGCCCTGCCCTGCCCTGCCCTGCCCTGCCCTGCCCTGCCCTGCCCTGCCCTGCCCTGCCCTGCCCTGGCCTGCCCTGGCCTGCCCTGCCCTGCCCTGCCCTATCATGACTTCCTTGGCATACCCTGGCCTACCCTGGTCTGCCTGCTGTGAGCCATCCTGTCTCGCGGTATCCTGACGCGTCTTGCCCTATCCTACCCTATTCTGCCCTGCCCTATCCTGTCTTGCCCTTCTCTTCCACGTCCTGCCCTACCCTGGCCTATTTTGACTTCCTTCTCTTCTCAAAGCCCTTCCCTTCCCTGTACCGCCCTGCCCTAATCTTCCCTTCCTTGCCCTAATCTTCCCTTCCTTGCCCTAATATCCCTTTCTTTGCCCTAATCTTCCCTACCCTGCCCTATCCCTCTCTGCCCAACCCTATCCAATCTTGCTTTTCCCCTCCCTGCTCTGCCCTTCTCGTCTCCGCCTTGCCCAACCCTGTCCTATCCTACCCTATTTTGTCTTTCCTTTCCATCCCTCTCCTGCCCTGCCTTAACCTGCCCATCCCTGCTCTGCCCTGCTCTACCCTTTCCTTTCCTGCCCTTCCCGTCTCTTCCCTTCCCTTCCCTACCCTGCCTTTCCTTCTCCTACCCTGCCTTAACTTGCCCATCCCTGCTCTGCCCTGCCCTTCCTCTTCCTTTCCTCTTTCCCTGCCCTACCCTGCCCTTCTCTTCTCTGCCTTACCCTGCCCTTCCCTTTCCTTCCTTGCCCTGCCCTACACTTCTCTTCCCTTCCCTGTCCTTCCCTGCCCCGCCCTGCCCTTCTTTTCCCTGCCCTGCCCTGCCCCGCCCCGCCCTGACCTGCCCTGCCCCCACAGGCGGCCCTGCTCTCCCCGATGGGCTCGAGCGTCCGCTACCTGATCCGCCGCAGCACCGTCAGGAGCCGCTCCATGAAGTCGGGTCGGTCGTCGGTGTCCGAAATCCGCTCCCGACGGACGTCCCTGAGCCGCTCCCGACGGCGTGGCGGCAGCGGCAGCGGCGTCGGCGTAGGTGCCCTTCATGACTTGCAAGTAGCCTCGCGTTCCTCCCGCCAGCCGTGGCCGCCGCTGCCCATGGCCAGCCTCGGGCACTGCTACATTCGGCCGGCGCTCGTCAACGCCACTGTGAGAGCCGCCTCCCCCCCCGCCATGCCCCGTGCCCCCCCCTCGCCGCCCTTTGACTCTCGCCTCTGTCTGGTCTATTCTCGCAGCTTTTTAGCTTTCTCTCTCTTTTCTTAGTTTGTTTCTCTGTTTCTGTCTGTCTGTCTGTCTGTCTCTCTGTCTGTCTCTCTCTCTCTCTCTCTCTCTCTCTCTCTCTCTCTCTCTCTCTCTCTCTCTCTCTCTCTCTCTCTCTGTCTTCTGTCTGTCTGTCTGTCTCTCTCTCTCTCTCCTCTCTCTCTCTCTCTCTCTCTCTCTCCTCTCTCTCTCTCTCTCTCTCTCTCTCTCTCTCTCTCTCTCTCTCTCTCTCTCTCTCTCTCTCT